CCTTGTCCGCCTTGTCCGCCTTGTCCGCCTTGTCCGCCTTGTCCCAGAGTCTTGTCCCTTGTATGTTGTTTCCAATTCCGACACTAGTGTGATCCGGGCTATAAATGTGGGCCTTACTTTTTTCTCGTAGGAAAATGCCAGAAAACGCCACTTTGTCAAAGTGCATCTCCCTTTACCAGTATTACTAGACAAGGCAGAAGAATTGAAGTTGAAAGCCCCTATACAGGAGAACGATATGAAAACAGGTCTGGAAAAGGCCTTTGAAAAGCATAACTTCGAAAAACTTGAAAAATACAACCCATTAGAGATTGACAACAGTACGATCGAGAAGAAAAAGAAATTCTTCATGGCCCCCTTCCATAACGAAATGATCCACAAGTATGCCAAAAAGAAGGAAGATCTGTTTAAGCCCTGTGACTTTCGGTATGTTACCCAGCAAATGTGTTTTGAAGCTGGTGACGGATTGAGGCACTTGTTATATGAAGGTAAGCAAAAATATTAAAACGTTTGTCAGTGTTGCACGAAAAAAACTAACTCTAGCAAAAACATACAGTGCTTTTTGATTAAATAGTGCATAAACTAACTCTAGTAAAACCATACACTGCTTTTTGATTGAATACTGCATAAACTAACTCTAGCAAAACCATACACTGTTTTTATGATTGAATACTGCATGAATTTTAGCTCTTTTACGCTACAAAATTGACTTGTCAAAAAGACCAGTTCTTGCATGTTGACGCCACATGCATGAGGTCCATGGTCAGTTATTCAGTCGAGATGCAAGGCACAAATTTATGTATTAATCCCTTTAAAATACCATGCGATATCGATTGATTGTCATGTTTGCACGTAATAGTTTTCCGATTTCAAAGCACGTGTTATTAATAGAGTATTATTATTTCCCTTATTTAATGGTACCCTGCGAGCAGAGGTTCATTTTCTGACCCGCCCTGGGCTGGCTGGTCGAGGAGAAAGTATTTTTTCTCCCCTACCAGCCAGCCCACGGAGGGTCAGAAAAAAAGCTCTGCTCGCAAGGTAATTTAATGGTTGCACATGAATGAGAAAACACATGAGCTATTTATACAACACAAGCAACAAATCTTCCAAGTCCGAATGATACGTGGTTTGGGTTGGAAAAACACGGGTAAGCTCAGACGCTCCAGCAAAACAGACCTTAATTGTCCAGCTAATTGATAACAGTATAAAGCTTGCTTATCATTCGCATTGCTATGTTTTGAATATTTTTAAGGCGTTTACACTGCAAGCTATTCCCTTCATGACGGAGATGACGACCTAGAAGATGGAGAATCTTCGACTAACGATCGTCAAAGACTCAAAAAAGAATGGGCACGATTTGGCCGATGCTTCAAATACCAGCCCTACGACTTGATCAAAGAATACTTTGGCACAGAGGTAGGTAAACACAAGATCAGTTAATAAATTTTCAGCCATGTCATTATTGATGACAAGCTATATTCATTAGATCATCTTATATTGAGCGCTAGTGATTTTAAGGGGAAATCATGAGGTGGCAATTTTTCATATTTGACTTGTGTATGATACTTCCAGTCACGTGTGAACCTTTTTTTTCCTTTTTTTTTTTTACCTGGTTCACGATAAAAACTGTTGCAGCGTGTCATGGTAAAGGGTCCTGAAGGGGTCAAATGAGAACTGGGATTTTCCCTTTTCTGCCCTGAGAAAATGTGATTTGGGTCACAATTTGAAAATAATACAATGAGGAAATGTTTTTAAAGAGAAAAAATGGGATTTCGAAGTACGTGGTATTTGTAGAAGTATTGGGTGGAAATGGGATTGGATCCCTTGATTGTCTGTCAAGTTCGTCTTAGCCAATATAACCAAGGGGCAAAAAGCTGTTGAGCGCTCTGAATGCTTCACGCTGTTTATAATCAAAGTTCTTAATAATGTTTTACCAAACTTTGTATAGGTTGGTTTATACTTTGCCTGGCTGGGGTTTTACACTTCAATGCTTGTTCCCCTGGCTATTGCCGGTCTAGTCGTCTTCATCTACGGCATTGCATCAGCAACCACTAGTCCTGTCGTACGCGATTCCTGCGACGATAAACTAAAGGGTTACTTCTACATGTGCCCGCTGTGTGACCGCCAGTGCAGCTACTGGGACTTAGTATCCACGACATGTGGTTATGCCTATGTGACTAATTTCTTCGACAACGATGCCACTGTATTCCTCGCCATATTCAGCTCCATATGGGCCACGCTTTTCCTTGAGTTCTGGAAGAGAAGACAAGTTTCTTTGGCTATCGAATGGAATGTGAAAGGATTCGAGAAAGAAGAAGAACCTGTGAGGCCCGAATTTAAAAAAACAGCCCCATCGCTGAAAAAAAATCCTGTGAATGGTAAAATGGAGCCCCATATACCAAGGAGGACCCGATACCAACGGTATGGCGCTGCTGGAAGCATCATTGCTTTGATGATCTTCCTCGTCATAGCTGCTGTCATTGGCGTTGTTGTCTACCGTGCTGCAGTCTTCGCCGCTCTCAGTGGAAACAAAATCATCGACATTCGACAACGTGCCCGAATCGTGACCTCCATTACCGCCGCTATTATCAACTTGATTTGCATCAATCTTCTCAAGTTCGTTTATCAAAAAATAGCTGTTTGGCTTACAAACTGGGAAAACCCTCGCACAAGAACCGATTTTGAAGACAGCTTCACTTATAAGATGTACCTTTTCCAGTTTGTAAACACCTACGCGTCGATCTTTTACATCGCCTTTTTCAAGTCGGGTCTTGTGGTTGGAACTCCTGGCCGCTACAAAAGGATTGCTGGTAAATACCGATTAGATGGCTGCAGCGAACAAGGTTGTTTTTTAGAATTATGTGTTCAGTTGTTCATCATCATGGTTGGCCAACAGATCATTGGAAATATCACCGAGATTGCCATTCCGTAAGTAGTAACCGTAATACATCCATGAGTAGATTTAATTTGACTATCAACTACGACCTTCCGGCCAACCAAGAGATTACCAAATTTGTGTCCTTAAGGATCCCTTACAGATGTTACATATATTTTTTTATTTTCCGTTGTACTAAACGTTTCTTCATTGATCATTAGGTTTGTCATGGAGTGGCTCAAGAAGCGTAAAGAACCACGCAACAAAGAAATGCCGCAGTATGCACAAGATTTTGACTTGAACTCATTAGGAGAGCATAACATGTTCTGGGAATACTTGGAAGTCGGTAAGTATTATCAATGATCTTACGATGCAGCAATATAAAAAGCGAATATCTCTATTCGCGTTCGCATATTGGACACGGATGTTCGAAGATGATAATGATGGTGGTAGTGATCATGGTGATTATGATGATGATGGTGGTGGTAGTGATTATGATGATGATGATGGTGGTAGTGATCATGGTGATTATGATGATGATGATGGTGGTAGTGATCATGGTGATGATGATGAATAATTGCGATTATAATGACGGAGGTGGTGGTGATGATTATAATGGTTGATGAAAA